ATCAAGATAAATTGGGATTTGTATGGGTTAAACAGATTGCACTACAGAAACATACTTTGAGAAGTGACAATTGTTATGAACGAGCACAATAGGTAGTTGGAATGACTGCCGCCCAGCGCAGCGCTGATTTGCTTTCTCTTTCTACCACTAATAAATCTTTTTAATTGGATTAGAAAGCCTATTGTGCTCGTTCATAACACTATTGCCAGATACTTTGGCTTTAATTTTTACATTTTAGAGTACAAAATCATAGAATCATAGAATCATAGAATGGTTTCATTAGAAGGGACCTTAAAGATCATCATTCCAACATCCTGCCATGGACAGGGACACCTTCCATAGGTTGCTCAGAGACCCACCCAGCTTTGAACAATTCCAGGGATGGGGCATCCACGATTTCCCTTGGGCAACCTGTGGAGGTATCTCACCATCTTCACAGCAAAGAACTTTCTCCTAATATCAAACCTAAACACACCATCCTTCAGCTTAAAGCCATTCCCCCATGTCTTACTGTGAAAAACACTAATAATTTGGTTTTTTTAAATCTTAAAATTTTATTAGTAATAAAATAGTTATAAAAAGTAGTAATAAAATTAGAATAATAAAAATTTGGACAATGAGGATTAAGACACTACGAGACAATAAAAAGCAAAGAATTACAGACATCTGGATGTTTTTGGGCACTAAGCTGCCAAAAACATGACTTGTGAACAGAGGAATAAACCTTCAAAGTAATAGCCTGTTGCATATTCATATATTCATACATGATGCATAAATTCCTTGCAAATTAAGATTTTTTCTGGTTTTTGTCAACTTCTTCTCCTTAATCCTGGTGGTTCCATAAAGACAGAGAGAAGGCTGAAGAATGTTTATCTTTTCCGATAAGGAGGCAGTAACTCTTTATGTGTCCTGTTGCTGTTATCTCTGTGCAAAGAGTTTCTTGATTATCTTATCCCTTTTCTTGAGCTAGTAAAAAATATCTTACATCGCATAGTTTCTATTTTAATGTTATGTTATAACCTAAAACTATATTTAACACACTACCTAAGAGAATTAATACAGCATAACTTTCTAACATTACACATATAGTATTCATTGTAATATTTGCAAACAGGCAATCATAAAATATGCATTTTTCACACTACTACTACAACAAAGCCTTTCTCTCCAGCCCTCTTTAGGTACTGGAAGGCTGTTCTAAGGTTTCCCCCACACTGAATCACCCCAATTCTCTTAGTCTTTCTTTAAAGGAAAGGTGCTCCAGCCCCCAGATTACTTTTGTGGCTCTCAGTTATGCCCCGGTCCCCTCAGCAGGTTTAGGGGAACATTGTTTAATTCACTCTGGGCAATGTGGCAAATTTTAAAACCATTTTGGAAGTAAGACACTCGACAAACTTGAACTTAGCAAACTTACAATTAGCCAACTTCAACTTATCCAGAAACAACAAAGCACTTTCTAAGGTATTTACTGGAATTTTTTAGTCTGGTTTACAATATATTTCGAGAAAAATTAGGATAAAAAAGAGAGAGGAAAGAGAAAGAAAGGGTAATGGTAGAAAAACATCACCACCTATGGATCCATCAATGAGACTTCATTGTTGCAATTTTGATGTTCATTGGTCAAAGTGATAATCACAGTCTTTATCAGTCTGGGGTAGGGGAAGACCACAAAACACAAATTTCAGTCTGTTAATACACACTCAAGTTCAAGTGGAACACCCAGGTACTTCCCGGTATGGGGACTTTTGCACTGTCTGATGCAACACCATGAATCACGTTTGAAAACTTTGGATTATGCCCATTCCTCTGCTGGAAGGCACGAGAAATTACTCTGGGAGCGTTTTGGGGGTCTTTGATGGTTCTCTTCTCTCACATCAGTATAATAGAGCCACTTTATCAGAAGGGATGGTTAATGTGAATATCACAGTAGCTTTTCCTGGCAAGAGGGAGGAGAAGAGTTTTACAACTGAGCCAGTCGTGTAAGAGATGACACTATTAGAATTTAAAGCATTATCCCACCTTGCAGGATCTGCTTAACAGCCCCTTCCCTTATCTAGCTCAAACCCCAGCTTCTTGCTAAGCAAAGGTTGATTGGTCATGATCATCCTCTGGTGCTCACACCCCCTGCACACGGATTGTTTCTTGAGCATCAACAGCAAAACACCCAGATTGAGACATAAACATTAATGTTTCAGTCTCTCACACCCTTCTGTGGATCTGCTAGTGCATAATGATTTTTGAAAGGGCTAAACATTTAAACAACTTTAAAGCACCATATAACTTTGCGTATTTCATATCTAATGAACACATGCATAAACACACATGCATATGTATTTCTATATGCATACGTATAAAATTTTATATGTACCTATGAGTATGAAAGTTGCATTATTTCAGGGCCTCACCCTTGTGTCCCTGTACATAAAGGTGATCTTTAACAGCCCATTAATTTCACATGCACCGACGTCAGCCGTCGCTGCCCGAGGGACAAAGCCTGCCTGTGGCAGCATCTCAGGGCCGGCAGGGATCAGAGCACCGAGCCCATTTTTTGGGATAGTTTGCCATCTACAGGTCGTATCAGGCAGCACCAGGAGAGAAAAACATTAACTACATTAAAGCAGTCTTCTTTTGAACTAATTATTCCTATGGGCATCCAGAAAATCCACTTAATCTGTTTTTTCTTTTGTTAATGTTTAACTTTGTTAGCAGTGTCATCTGAAAGTGCTGAGCTAATCCTTTTCCCCAAATCATAAGCAGTATTTCATTCGGTGTTAAGAGCTTGGTTATAGTGAAAAGGAATTTAAAAAATATTCATAAAATATAACCAAAATAATTAATCTTAATATTTTTACAGTAATAAATATCTTTTCAGAGACCATCTCCTGTGCTGCTGGTGCAAGAAAGATCAAATAAGTAGTACAAACAAGTATGTTTATTGCAGACAGAACTCATTTGTGACAATAAAAGGCAAAACATTATTTCCTTTGAAGTATCATCCTTTTTGTTGTCCTTAGAAATATCTCTCCAACTACATTACTTTTTATCTCTGAAAAATGTTGACTGGTATTTCCATTTTCATTTGTTTATATCAAATTAGAAAAGAAAATAATTTCTGAATAAAAATACCATCTTTCTTAATCTTTTAAAGGCATTTTAATGGTATTTGGCAAATCTTCCAGCAAAGTTTTCAGAAAGACAGCAGTTTTATGGTTTCAGGAGCATTTGTGCATAAATCTGTCTCCAGCTGGGTTTAAGGATTTAATTTTGCTCTCTCTTTTCAGATGAAGTAGATAGTAATTTAGTTATGGAGTGTTCTTGCTTACTCTTGCAGCAAGAGAAGATGTCTTTTTGTACCCAGTTGCCCAGGAGGTACAGAAATTTTCAGGGGCAGTAAAGCAAGATATTTGAGAAAAAGACAGTAGTCTGTAAAATTCCCACTTTAAAAGACATATTTTCTACATGAATTAGCTGATGCTCCCTGTATTTTCTCCATGACAAAAGATCAAGCGTTAAAGATCAGCACCAAAATCAGAGTTCCACCAGTGCTTGTTTGGCAATGTGGAAATGAAGAAAATGGGGATAAATTTTGGGGATCTTTGGCCTTCTGAAGCTCTTTTCACTAAGCTGCAGTAGACATTTTGATGAAATAATGTTCAAATACATCTTGCTGGAATTACTGAACAAAATTAAAGCATAGTTTCCACGTGTCTTGATGGATTTATCTTGTTTAATTTTTGTTGTCATTGTTTTATTGGCATTGGAGTCCATATAAATTTTTAGCTTCTGTAAAATCTGAGACAAAAACTTCCAACAGCTCCGTTTTATTTGCATGTGGGTGATATTCTTTTGCTTACTTGAATGTATCACCACACAATTTCATATGACGGCCATTATTTCTTGCATTTATCAACCATTCCTAAAGATATGGCAGTTTTTTATACAGGGATAGTTCCCAGTCTTAATTTACCAGTGTAGGTGGAGTATGTTTGCATTATTTTCTCTAATTCAAATAAAAATTCTCTCAAGCCTCTGTGTTCACCAGGTGCAACTGACCATGATTATATCCCAGGAAAACACTGGACTGACATGCAGAAAACCTCTATTTCATGCTTCATATAAGTGAACTTAGTCTAAATAGATCTTTATTCTGATTCCCCACCCAATATGGATAATGATATCTGTTGTAAAACAACTTGATTTACATAAATGAGACATATATAAGAGCTAAACATTATTAACACATGAACTCATAAACATGTGTCTCGGTTTTTTGTCAGGTAGGTTTGTCCATAGGAATTCAAACTCTAATATGAAAAATGTGAGGAAGCAGCAATTATTTGTTAGTAGTGCCAAAGAAATCTTGGTGGAAAGAACTGGCTAAAACTCTACTTCCCCAAGCCAAGTGAGAGCTTGCAGCTACTTGTTAGCTGAGAAAAAACTGGATCTAGTAGTGGAGAAAAACATAATAGAAAAAATTTTATTTTATTGAATTTTTAAAATACATTGCACACGTTATGCTCAAGTATGCTCAGAGGAAAGTACAGCTTTTCCTGTATTACTCCAAACAGAATATTTTTATTCTACAATAATTTCATAAAAACATATATTTTCATGTAGCATATATCATAAATATGTGTTTTACAAAGAAGTTAAAAGAAATTAGGTATTCAAAAATCGCAGTGATATTCCCAGTTCCTTCATAAATCCTACTTCTACTGTTCTGATTATTACAATCAGGTGTTATTTGGCTGTTTCTTGTTCTTTCAAAATTGTATAAATGTGTGTTAGTCATAACAAAGACATCCTCTTTCTACAAAGCCTGTACACGTGTTCACTGCCAATGCATTTAAAGGAAAATAATTTTGAGCTTTGCATTGATTTGCAGCAATTTTTCTCTTCAGGAATCAAATACCACACTGCTTTCTAATAGGAATTTAATTAATTCCTCTTGTTCAACAATTAATTAGTTCATGGTTTCTGTGTATGTATTGAACATGCATATTGACAGGTCTTTATGAAAAGAGGAAAAACATGAGGAAACAGCACACATTTTAGTCACATTTTGCAAATATAAATTGTGGCACTATCATACAGTGTGCTTCATGAGGGAACTGTACTCTTCTACCAATTTCTTCTTCTCATTTAATTTTTCCAGTACAGCATCCATTAAGTATGAGGCAAAAGGAAATTGAAAAAGAAACAGAGTAAGAAAAATGATCATTAAACTTTATTTTTTTCATGTGAAATACATTTATTAAATATCTTTAAACTATCAGATTTCACTTAGTTCTGACAACTACCACACACACATTTCTGATCTTTAAAGTTCATCTGCCTGGTTAGTGTCTGAAATTTTGCTCTCTATCATAAAAATGATAAAAGAGCAGTGTAAAATGAAAAAAGATAAACTCCTTATTGAACAATTCATGCTTTACTGACCATGTTAATGATGTAAACTGCAGTACCAGCATCTCTGTCATTTATCTTCAATCAGATGATCAATAAAAGGTTACAGTCACCTCTAGGGCATGCAGAAATGGTAGTGTATGTGTGTAAGTTCACTATTCTCAGGAGGATGAGACAGAACTACTAGTATAATTTTCAATGCTGTAGCAAATTGCCTTAGACTCACACACAAAACCTTGTAAATAATTAAACAACAAACAACATAAAATACCCCAAACCAAACAAGAACAAAACCCCAAAACAAACAAAACCACAAAAAACAACTCTCAAAGCAAAGTAAAATCCCAAAGCTTCAACTGCATTAATTGTAATATGACACAAATGTCTGCTTCTGTAAAACAGGATACCAAAAATTTTAGTGACATGTCTACAGAGAAAAATTAAAACCTCTTTTAACTTATCTGATATGAAGGATGTATTTGCACAACCAATGTCTTCAAAGGATATTTGGTATATTTTTCAGTATCATCACTTTAATGCCTAAAGAGGTTTTCTTTCAAAATTCTGGTATATCGGTGCACTGTTTGTTGGGAAGTATTTTTAGAAGTGGTCAGAAGAGTGGTTGTGGCAGTATCCATCCCTCTGGGTAGTGCTGTGCTAGAGGAGAACAGGACAGTTTTCCTTCGCTGTTGAAAAGTCTCTATCAGCTTCACAGAACTCTGCCAGCTTTCTGAACACATGGCGAGACCAGTGCTGAGTGAGGGGTCAGTACTACATGAAAAGTAACAGCTCATTCAGAAGGAGACATAATTCCACCAGAAATAAATAAGGTAAAATAAAGAAACTGGTGGAACAAGCTGCTGGCCAATCATCATTTTTCGCTTTTCACGACTTTAGTTCAAAGCAACACTTTTCTATCTAAACTCCTGTGTAGTTCCACACTTCAGTATTGTTGCTCTAGTTTCATTTTTTTACTTCTCTATGCCATCTGGAAGAGAACACTGAATGGTCTTTATGCCAGATAGAGTAGTGCTTGTTTCCTAAATAGACATGAATCAAAAATTACAAAAGAAACAAATAAAAACTCCAGATATAAAGCACATCAAATACAAAATGTTACATTTGAACTGATATAGAGACACAAATCTATATACTGTTATTTATAATTTCAAACAAGTCAGAAAAAATAATCTAAAAAAGGAAAATCTTGTTTATAGAAGGCATGTACTGTGAAAAGATAAAATGGCATCCTAAGTGCTGCTAAACAGTCACTTTGTAGTTACAGGAAAAGGACAACAATATGTATTATTTCCTTTTTCTACAGGAAAGGGGGTTTTCAAGGGCTGGTGCTTTCTGGCCAGACATGTCTCCATCTGTCATAAATAACTTACATGTGTGGTAAGAAATTTCTAGAAGACATGTACACCTGTCAGCTTTCTCCTGTGCTCTATTGTGAAGACTTTTGGGGGAAGAGAAGGCTCAAATTCACTGAGCACAAATCTATTCAGTGTAATATAAGACATAATCTTATCTGAAATTCTGTGACACTCACTTGCTACTACACTTTGAAAATATTGACTCCAGCATCCTGCTCCCTCTAATTTCTCTCCCTTTTTTCCTATGTTCATTATGAGAACACTGTATCATTACCTCACAGTCTTTAATTCTTCTTGCCTGCCTTGACTACATCCATTTCTGCTACATTTTACCTCCTTAATGCCATGACTGAGATGAATGGCTTTTTATTGATGTCTGTGGCTGGTATCATTCTAACTACATTTTACTGCTCACTTCTCTCTGTGGCTTCTATGTTATAACAAAGTGATCTTTCAAGAACTCTTGCCATTCAAGTGATTCATTTAAATCAAGAGCATTTGAAAGTGGAACATTACATCATTCTTTTAACATTTGTTGGTTTCAGAGAAAGTGCTGTATGTTTCTTTCTGGTTTTCTTTTCTTGCAGACACCCAGAACTGAATGATCTCTACAGCCTTAATCTTTAATAGAAGCTTGTTGGATTTACTTCTAATGATGACTCTGTAACTATCCTGGGAAACCTCCCTTTACACTTCTCCCCAGAACTTCACAACTACTGAAGTCATCTCTACTCTAAAGCATTCATCCCAGCTTCAAAACCTGCCATATGCTTGGGAAAGGCTTTGCAAGTTCAGTGAGTGCCAAGCACACACCTAAGGAGTGAAAGCTTGTTTTTACCACTGATCATGAGATATTTTAATACAGAATGATACTTCTTTTAGATTTTTTACAATTATCTGTGCCACAATCCACTAAACATTAATTGTGGTGATCCTATATCAGTACATTATGGTTGCCTTTAACAGAAGTAGTATTTAATTGGTTCATATGATTTTACAACATCTGAATGTGCAAACTACATCTGGAATAAAAGAATTTTATTTATTTGAGTTCCCAGATTTACAATTATCTTCTTTGATAGTAGGAACGCATATGAATGAAAGGCATATTTCTAACACAACTTACCAGACAGATATCTTGGTGTATGGATAAATGTAAGGTAATGCGATCCTAAAGAGTCAGAAATAGTAACCGTTAATTTTCCTTCTCTCACCTATTTATTCTGACCCTAAATGTGCTTCTTTTGGAGATCCCTTCTATAATAAAAACAAACTAATAATATTTATTGATGTTAAACCACATGACTGAGCCTCTGTCAGCACAAATGCATAAATATACAGCAATCTGCCAGCGGAAAGTATTATAATGGATGCAAGGCAATGTTTTTGTTCCAAGGAGACACAGCATCCCCATTTGCAGAGTGTAGGATTACTTCAGCTTCTGCTTCAAAAAGACTAAAACATTTTAGCATAAATATAAAAGTATTTAGGTTTTGGAACATACAAATTACTGGTTACAACTATTTCACATCTTCCCATATGGATCATTAGTACAATACATTTTCCCAACAAAATACAATTCAAACACTGCAGAGCTGCCGTAGATTGAATTAAGTGAACCACAAAAAATAATATGAAACAAAATTAGGCACTAAGACCAATAACTAAAACATCCTAAAATCACTAAAAACTAAAATTCAAAATAAATTTAAAAAAAAAAAGCTTCACTGTATCACTGGTTTTTGTCTTACTCATTGCTCTTATTCTGCCTCATGGCAGCTGCATATACATCATTATATAAATATATATGTGCCTTTTATTCTGAGTGACCAAGCCAATTTCTCCTTGATTTCAATTTAGGACAAGTGATATAATGTAGGTGTT